TGCCTGCCCGCCGCTACGGGCAGTCCGGCCCCACCGCCCGCGGGCCGGTGTTTCTGGCAGCGCCTCTGCCGCCCGCCCCCACCCCAGCGACGAAGGGGCCCGGAGGGGTTTCTCGGGGGTATCCAGTGTGGTTCAGCGGGGGCTCCGACCCCAGAACGGGCTTTGCACCGATTTCCCGTCACAACCCGGCCGGGCTGCGGCCCGCAGCTCCCATCTCCGGGCCTAGTGCTCCGCCTCGGGACCCCTGAGCTCAGCGCCTGGCTCGTCATTGCTTGGGAGAGGGATCCCACGCGTTAGGGAGGGGCCTCTCCTCTGCCGTCCTGCCTTGCTCTCCCGAGAGAGGACTTGGCTGCAGCTCTGCCATGCCTGTGCCAGTCTCTGCCCACCCTCCCGCGCTGAGCTGCTCACCTCTCCAGGCTGCTGCTGCAGGACACGGTGTTTGACACCTTGGGGCAGACCCTGCGAGCTGCTTTGTTGGTGGACACGTGCCCAGCTCCTGAAGAACAGATATCCCCTGTGCAAACAACAGTACCACTGTACCGCTCTACCTGGCCCCCTTTGGTTTTGGAGAGGCAAAAGGGAAGATGGGTCTTGGCGATTGGCCCATGGGGAAGAGCTGGTGAAAGCGAGGGAACCTGCGTGGGGAATAGCATTAAAAGGAGAATATTACTCTCTGCCACTGCAGTCTGTGGAGGGTAGCAAGGGGGAAGCATGGGCATGGACTAACACCACCGGGTAGGTTCACATCACATTGATCGCATTTCCTGACCCCCAATTCTGCAGGAGGTACAGCCCCAGATCTGTGTGCCCCCCCATTCAATGCATCCCCCGAGCACGGAGGTTATCCTGGTGCTACTTTCCATTTCAGTTAAAACTACGGAGGGAGGAAGCAAACAGCCAAGACCAGCTGAATGGAGATTAGCCCTTTGCTGTGCTGCAGATGACTTGCGCTGCTTACCACAGCTTATCGCAGCTGTGGGAGGGTTTTTTTCCCGTGCTTTTCGCCATCATAAAGGCATGAAGCCGGCCTTGTGTCAGCTCTGTGTGTGGTAGCGGCTTCCTGGCACTGTGAAAATGTGAACTGTGAAGAGGAGGGGATCCTTCGGAGGCAGATGCAGCAGGTTCAGGGCTGTGAAAAATGCCTGCCAAAGCCTTGTCCGTTCCCATGTGTTGTAGTTTCCTTAACTACGATGCCAAAAAGAAGCCACGAAAGGAAGCCATGGTTCATGCGGGCTGTGAGTGACCTCAGTTTACTGGGGGCATAAGTAGTGCTTTTACGGCTTGGAGAGCTGGGGCAAAGGGCACAAATTGTTGAATTAATGGTTCTTAAAATTGCAGGGATGCTCTTCTGGGAGAGGTAGGGCTGGAGTCTGTGTTGCTGGAGTGCGAGGCCAGGATTAAGCCGTGGTCCTGGTGGGGAAGCAGGCAGCCAGGCAGGCTCAGATGGGGTGGGTAAGCAATGCTGAAGTTGTTGGGTTACTCTGGCAACTGCCCTGCTCCTCTTTGTAGCCCGTAGGGATTTCAGGTGGGCAGGGAAGGGGGTTGGTGCAGCCCAGTGGCTAGGAGTGGCATTGCTGCTTCCCTAACGAGCTCTGCAGCCTGGTGGGGGGTTAAGAAGAGAGGGGAGTTGCACACATATATATCTGGTTTTGCCTGGACTTAACTGGACTGTATTTGCAGAGTCTGCCTGCGTCTCATAGCCTGAGAATGCTCTAAGCAGTGGCTTTCTGGTGGCAATGGTCGGATGCTGTATTCTCAACATTTAGGTTTCTAACACGGTGACAGAGAAGATGCTTTCCTGGGTGCAAATTAAGTGGTGTGGCTGAGCCAGCAGTTGGGTTGCTGCTGAGAAGAGCTGGCCCTGTTCCCTCTTCCTCCCTCTGCCTTCACAAGCACATGCTCCTGTTGTGTTTACCCTGTGCTTGCTCCAGTGCCACTCTGATCCCTCCATGGAGGTAGCAGCTGGGTTACTTTTGGATGGAAGGTTAAACGGGCAGAAAACTAACCCAGCAACAGAAGTGACTTGTTTCGTGCAGGAATAGTGAGCTGAATCATCTCAGCACAGGCCCGTTGGCGCTACAGAACTGTCACGAGGGAAGAAGCAGAAGGGTGGGAGTGGCAGCAGAGAAGGTCCCCACATCCCCTTTTGGCAGAAGTGAGCCTGGTTCTCTCACTTCCATCCCCCAGATACGCTCACGGTCAGCAGGAGCAGAGGCAGAAGCTTGGGAAGCCTGTACGGATCATTGGTAACTGAGGCTTGGCTGCTGCTTCCCAGGGCTGGGAGACCGATGCGAGGGGCTTGTGTCCCACACAGGTGAGTCTACTGGAGGTGCCTCGAGAGGCAAGGTGCTTACGATTGTAATGAGGTCGTCTGATCTTGCAAGATCCCAATCCAGAGGCGATGTGACTTGCAAATCAGGGAGTGGGTGTCATTTGCAAATTCCCTGCAGCAGGGCAGGGTGCTGTGGGGAGGTGAATGGGACTTGCGCGAAGGTATAAAATAAGCCTTCCGCCCCCCGCCTCCCATCAGCTTGCCTTTCCTCCATCAGTCCCCCACACTAATTGTCTGCTCTCTTACAGGTCTTGATTTCAGCCTGTCATTTTGCATGTAAATTACAGGGTTTGAAGGCGAGTTCAGATCAAGATCAGCTGTGAAGTTCAAGGCCAGGAGAGCCTGGTCTGGCTTAGCTGGATCCATTGTCAAGGAGATTAAATAATACCAAGACAGTGCCCTCTTACCTCAGGCTGAGAGTCTGTGTCTGCTCCTCAGAAACAGCTTTTGCAGAGTAGCCGGGTGCAGGCCGTACCTGCACACTGCTGGGCAATAGTCAGCGTTGCTTGCAGGGCTGCTGCAGTCGTGTCTGGGGGACGAATAACAGCTTTTTAGTAATGGATCTCATGTCAACAGGGGTGATTTAGCAAGGAAGACTGCAGTGCATTAGTTGCTGTGACTCAGACTCACTCAGCCTTGTACTGATCATTTGTTGGTTTATAAATTAAACTGCAGATGTTGCGTCCCGTCAGTGCTGGCACGCTGAGGATCCTGAAGGGGGATTTTCCTTTAGAGATGTCTCAGAAATCCTCAAATTACTGCCTCGGGAGTCAGGGCATACAGGTTGTAGCCCCAGCTCTTACAGCAGTGACGCCAGCCAAGCTGCCCCAGTTGCTTGTCAAAATCACAGCGTGACTCTGATAAGGTATCGAGGCTCTTGTGGCATCTGCCAAAAGTTCACCAGTGGTCTGTGCCTGTCGGTGTGGCATTCTGCATCCTCATTTTCTGAGTGGGGAGCAAGCCCCTCCAGTTTCTTGTAGGGAATAAAATGCTGTCCGCAAGATCTTGGTGAGCATCATGGGGAAATAGGTGCTGGCTGCTCCTGTGCTGGGGGAATGTGTGCTCCTGTCGGGGGAGGAGAGAGGCAGCAGGGACTGGTGTGAGCCAGGACAGGGATTTGCGGATCTGTGCCAGTCTCTGCTGATCTGCATTGAAAAGTTATTTAGAAATGAAAAAGATGTTTTTATAAGCAGGTAACTTGCTGCCCAGCCCTGAGAAACCAGATGGGCTCTTTTTGTCTCAGAACTCTTCCCCAGAAACTCAATGCCCACCCCTACATGGTCCTGGAGTGAAGTGTTTCGTCTCTGGTCCTTCTGCGGTTCAGTCCCAGCCTGCTCAAGGGTGGTGATGGCGGTGGTGGGCCTCTTGGCAGAGGATACAGCAGAGGGCAGGGGCTTCAGTTTGCTTTGGGTAGGTTGTGTTTGAGCCACAGGAGGTATTTAGGAAGAGCCCAAGGTGCAAGATAATTCAAACCTAAGGGTGAGAAATCTCAGATGATGTCCAGCTCCCTTGTATTTCCTATTTACTAAAGGCACACGGGGTGGTTATAGCAGCTCAGCTCCTGCTTGCACATCTGCACTAAGTGTTCCCAATGGGAGAGCAAAGCCAGGAAGGATTTTCTGTACTGAAGATGCTGGTATTACAGCAACTGCGGACATTTCAGGTTCAATGCTGGTAAAAACACTGATTACCCCCCAGGGTAGTGCTGCTTGATCTCTTGCCTCACCTTCATAGAAGAGACCAGTTTGGGGTGGTTTCCTACCTGCAGGTCATCTCTGTAGCCTGGTGTGAGCTCTCTAATGACGGTCAGGAGTTCACATATATATATATATATATGTATATGAAATGTAGCTTTTCAGTGGCTCAGTGAGCCCTGTTCCTCTCTGTTCTAGTGGTGGCTGGTTTCTGTGGTGGCAGCAGAGTGACGGCAGGATGTGTGAGGGGCCATCTAGGATTTCTGGACCCATTCCTCCGGACCCTACGCTCTTTCCAAACTATTACAAACGCCCCTTCTCAGGTGAGACCTTGATGCTTGTTGCAGAAGTGCAGTTTTGTACTTCGGCACGACGCAGCTCGCACATTTAATGTCCTTATTCATTGGCATCCTCAGTGGTCTCCACTTACACTGGCACAGGTTCATCTGCTGCCTCATGGTTGGTGATCCTAAAAGTGGTCTGTACAACTGGTGGAAAGATGGGAAAGCATAAGGTAGAGGTGCAGAGGGGGTCTTCAGCGCTGTTTGTAGGCTGTGGGTGAAGAAAACCATGAGCTGAGATTGTTTCCTGATAATCTCCTTCTCTTTCTTTCTCTGTAGCTCGAGGGAGGCTGGAAGGGAATGCTCAGAAGCTGGATTTTACCTCTGGCCCCCTGGACCCAGTTCCCAACCCATATCCAGCTTTGGGCAGTGCCCAGCAGATCCACCCAGCCCCTCGTATTCGCCCCAGTGGAAAGGACTTTCTGGAGAAGGGACAGAAGGGGACGCTCAGCCTCTTGCTGCAGCTCGAAGGGATCTCCCTTGACAGGGGGCTGCCAGTCAAGAGTAAGTACAGCTGACGTACTGCTTGCCTGAGTTGCGTTTGGTGCCAGGGATGAAGCATCGGGGATTTGGGTGGATTTCTCAGCTCTGCTGCCTGAGGAGAGCTTGAGCTTTGCAGGGCCAGTTGCCCCATCTCCTCCATTTGGCCTGGCAGTGGTGTCCCTGGGCCGTCACCCATGCTGGAGGCCTCTCTGACTCCACTCCGGCCCAGGTCTGCAGTGGGAAGAGAGACCGTGAAAAAGTTGCTGTTTAATTTGGACTTGAGGAGCTAGTCATGGATGAGAGACTATTGGGAAGTGCTGGAAATAAACGAAGCCTTTCCAGTTTGCCCTCTGAATATAACCAGTATCTTTATAGTCGAACTTAAAGACAAACCAAGCGAAATCTTAATGTATAAAGGTTGTTTAATCTGGGGAAATCCTTGCTACAGAAGCCAGACAGGATTTGGGAAGACTGTATATGTAGATGCTGAGAACATCCTTGCAAAAGATGTTCCTTTCTCCCGGGAGGTCACCCAGAGTACATTCGGAGGTCCAGGAGGGAGATAAGGCGAAGCACTGGGTGTCACTTGATTGGCTTTGTGTGCTGGCATTGCCCCTGGCCCTGCCTGGTGCCAGCGTGGTGGATGCCAGCCCCTGGCTGCCACAACTGCTGTGCCAAAGCAGGAGGGGAATGGAAGAGGGTCTGGCTGCATCAGCTGAGATCTTCCCTGTCTTGCAGAGCCCAAGGAAGGATCATTTTTGATTCAAAACCAAAAAAATACGCTCCATAGTCTTCATTATGTCAGCTTGAATATGGGACAATGGCTGCCCATGAGCCTGAAACCAGGAACAGCCAGGTTGAGGGCTCTGTAGCTGCCATTAACCAGCCCAGTCTTCGCTTCGGAGACACCATGGGTGCTGAACTGGGAATTGACCTTGCTTTCGAGAGGATGCGGGCCTGGCTTGTCCAGCATAGCCCAAAATGGGGCAAGTAAGCTCTGCTCCTTCAGAGCACGGGAGTCTGTGAACACCAGGAATGTGCACACACCTGTGCCAACAGTCATCTGGGCACTGTAGGATCCTCTGGCAGAAAGGGATCGGTCCGGGAGTGTGGCTCTAACATGGGAAAAATGCACAGATTGCCTGGTCTGCAGGAGAGGGGAGAGCTTGCTGTTTCATGTGCGGTTGGACCGGCTTTGGAGCTGTGGGCTCTGGTGCCAGTGCTCCAAGAGCCTGCATCCCTTGGCAGTGTCTGGGGAGTGAAGGC